CTATACAATGGCTCAAAAAAGTTAAAGAAAACAAATGGTATTCCTTTTTTGTATCACATTGAAATCGTACGACTGTCACGTGCGCCACCATGGGAATGCCCATATGAGAAAAACGAGTAATGCATCCATGCACAGTTTCGACTCAAAACCGAAATAGTGCATAAATGAAAACGAACTTCTTTCTGCGTAGGCGGCCTTCGGCCGCGATTAGGGATTATAACCCTTACTAAGAAGATCTCTCCTTTCTTTGTTGCCGGAAAAGGGGACCGGAAGTATTTTTGCGCAGAACTTCTTTCTGCGTAGGCGGCCTTCGGCCGCGCTTAGGGATTAAAACCCTTACTAAGTAGAAGTAAATAATTGATATTAGAAAAAAACGAAATTATCCATATGCACACTTTCGTTAGAAAACTGAAATAATGCATAAATAAAAACCGAAATAATGCATATGAGAAAATATCGAAATTATGCATATAAAATATAATTTGGTGCCTATATATTTTTTAACCAAAATGGAAGAAAATGTTAATTGGAGCTATTGGAGAAAAGTTAATGATCGCTTAATATTAAGCTATACTATAGCGCCATTATCAGATTTGTTACATGAACTGGAAATTCAGCTGCCAGCTTTTAAACTTCATTATTTTATAAAGCGCGACCAGGAAAAATATTTCAAGGAAAAAAAGAACAATTTACGTGATGATGAATTAATTTTGCAAATCGATTTTGCAGAAAACTATCGGTTGATCAATCAGAATGAGGTCCAAGAAGCTCACTTCAGCTACCAACAAGTTACTATTTTCACTTGCGTTGCATGGCTTCGAGGTCAAACTGAATGTATTGCTGCTATTAGTGACAAACTTACCCACAACAAATTTGACGTCTATTGTTTCCTTACAAAAATTGTGCACAAAATTCAAAGTCAATTCGAAGGAATTTCCACGGTTTTCATATTCTCTGATGGCAGCACCAGTCAATTCAAAAACAAATATATTCTCACCAGCATTCCTTCGTTTGTGAGCGAATTTGGCTTAAAGCATTTAGAGTGGAACTTCTTTGCCACTTCGCATGGCAAAGGAGCAGTCGATGGAGTAGGCGCGGTGGTGAAGCGAAAAGTTTGGCAAGCGGTTAAGACAAATAATATTATTTTACCGGATGCCTTTGCATTTTATGAATGCGCTGGCAAAATCATCGAAGGAGTTCGTCTGTTATATATCTCATCAAAAGAGATTGAAGAATTTTCTACACCATTAAATGAAAAATGGGAAATTGTCCGCTCCATTCCAGGAAACAAAAAATGCATTGCTTTTCCTACCAAGATAACGAAAATATAAATGTTGCTCGAACAGCATACTCACTTAAAGAAACAATTAAATTGGATTAATTTTGCAGTACCTTAATTTTTATTTTGTATTTTCCATTTTTGAATAAAAGTTTAATTTTTTTGTCAAAAACTTTTGAAAATATATGTAAAATTATTAAAATATGTATGAAGGAAAAAAGTGTCACGTGCGTAATGTCACGTGAGTAATCAATATAGTGACCGGAAAAAAACCGAAATACATGGATGGAAAAATACGTACATACGTGCATACCACATCCGATTCCAGCCAGTGAGTGAGTGGCCTTGTCATTGCGTATCTATATTTGTATGAATTTAACACAAGATGTGTTGAACAGGTTATGGCATTTTGACTTTGTCCAACTCCTCACACACAAACTGTCGATAAAAATATATTTTTAAATTTTATTTGCACACGCTACAATTCACACTTTATTAAATACCAACACAAACTGCATGGCTAAGTGATTGTCGACTTTGGGGCGGTCTATAGAAGTGGTTGGTCGCTCATCACACTACATCCATAAATACTACTAGGCAATCAATAAAAGTTGCATGCAATTTTAATTTCGTAGTGGGAAGGTGCGCTTGCAGCCAGCGGCCTGGTATTCGATGCATGTGTACATTCAAATGTACCTATTAATTACCATATACATACATACATATACTTAATCGGCAAAATTAAAAGGGCCATTTTTCTTTTTGTATAGAATGGCCAAAGCTTAAGGGCCTTCTGATTTAGCTTCTCTTAGAAGTGCAAAATTTACATGAAATATTAATAAGTAAGACGAAGTACAAATCTGCAAGTAGGCGATTGGCTGGGTTTTTCCCAACCGGTTTTCATTGGTGTACCGAGTACACCGGATTTTTATAATCGAATAGACCAGGTTTTCACCTAGTTTATTTATACGAGGGATGCTATTTATACTATTACTGGCCTAACAATGGAAAAAGGACCTTTGGTGGTTGAAAATGGTTTTACTGTTTTTCTAAATATTCTCCATTATGATCAATATCCTTTGACATTCGTCCCAGCATTTTCTTACACCAATGTATATGAGCCTACTTTTAGGCGTTTTTACCACAACGTGATCATACAAAATTTTATTAAAGCTCGTCCTACTAATGCAACGATGTCACAGTATGAATGCATTCCAAAACGTCAAGATACAAAGCATCAGTCTATTTTCTTATAAATCTTAGTAGACCGTAATGCCAAATGTGCGCAACCACGGTTAGATGCTTTTTTTCAACCGGGTTACGCAAGTTAGACTTTTTCTTCAAGTTGTATTTAGAAATAAAGGAGACTGAGGCTGTGTATTCTGAAGTTTTGGAAAGCACCCTATGTGACATGACGATCTTGTACAGAATCGATATTTTCTGGCAAAACAACTTATTTCGTCCGACCTTCACGGAATTCGACCACGAGAAAATTCATGGTGCCAACTTTTTACGATGCAAAAGGATGGTGCTTAGTCGCCACATAATCACAATCACATTCAGAAGGAAACAACGTAGAATACCTGTATGTCGAAATGTCTAGCCCCTCGTCCATAATCCCATTGTCTTTTGTGTATAATCCTTATAAGCATTTCAGCCCATGTGACTTTTTTAATTTTCTTCCCACTGTTTCTGTGGTCGTACCATATCGAAGTGACTGTTGCTAGCAATTCGCTCTAAACTTTTCGTAAATTAGAGTTTTCGTTGTTGTTAAAATCGTGGTATTATCCTTAAAAAAAATAACATTGTAATCTAGAGTGTGTAAAACATGTTTTTTTCATTGTCACGCCATCTAAAAACTGACTTAAGACGTACAGTATCGGTCATATCTATAGCACGCCATTTCAAAGTGATATTTTGTGCCACTTATGTTTATTTATTTATTTTTAAGAATTTTCAATTAAAATATAGTTCATTCTCAGACAAATCCCATATATACCCAAGTTTAACAATCTGTAGAAAACTACAAACAAGTGCAACAAATTTTCACCTAAATATCAAACTTTTTTCTCGGAAGTGTTAGAATTTTTCTGAATACACAGTTTTATTGCCCAATCAATTTTAGTCTGATAATGTGCAAATTTTAAGTGCCTACAAATTACCGTTAATTTTTTAGACTTTTTTTGTCGCATTGGCTTCCATATAATGAATAACGTCCATTTATTTGCATATGGAAAAAACCGCAACACCTCGTCAGATGCCATGAAATTATTATCAACTGTTGTAAATGCGGATGCAGAATTGCCATCAGAAAATATNATTTATATGGGTTTTGTTAGAGAAAGAACTGTATTTTAACTGAAAATTCTTTAAAATAAATAAATAAACATTAGTGGCACACAATATCACTTTGAAATGGCGTGCTATAGATATGACCGATACTGTAGATATTCACGGATTGATTTTTTTTTGTTTACTCATTATGATGGATTAGGAAAATAGTTGCGAGAGTGGTCGAGATGGGCGGTCTAATTTTCTTTTTCAAATAGATTGAAGTTTTTCCCATCCACTGTAGTTTGGACATCAGTTTTTATACGCGAATCTTAATTTTTTTATGTTTAAAAGATTTAAATTATGTAAAAAATTATTTCTGTCAAGATTTTGATGTTTTAAAGATTGGATGTTTTTAGAATTTAAATGATGTCAGAAAGTACTACTACTTATATTAGAGTGGTCATCCATGGGCCTCTCGTTATTAAATGGGTACCCCTGCCAATTGGGCAACTTTCCGAAGAAGCCCAAGAGTCAAGGAATAAGGACATTAAAAAATATCGGCTGCTTGTATTTTCGGACCCTGTCATTTCAAGTTTACGTTTAAACCCACCAAAACCAAATCACAAACTGTCGTCAGATGCCATGAAATTATTATCAACTGTTGTAAATGCGGATGCAGANTGCCCAATCAATTTTAGTCTGATAATGTGCAAATTTTAAGTGCCTACAAATTACCGTTAATTTTTTAGACTTTTTTTGTCGCATTGGCTTCCATATAATGAATAACGTCCATTTATTTGCATATGGAAAAAACCGCAACACCTTTGGCGAAAAAAATCTAAAAAATCAACGGCACCAGACTAAACTTGATTGGGCTAAAAAACTGTGTATTCAGAAAAATTCTAACACTTCCGAGAAAAAAGTTTGATATTTAGGTGAAAATTTGTTGCACTTTTTTGTAGTTTTCTACAAATTGTTAAACTTGGATTTATATGGGTTTTGTTAGAGAAAGAACTGTATTTTAACTGAAAATTCTTTAAAATAAATAAATAAACATTAGTGGCACACAATATCACTTTGAAATGGCGTGCTATAGATATGACCGATACTGTAGATATTCACGGATTGATTTTTTTTTGTTTACTCATTATGATGGATTAGGAAAATAGTTGCGAGAGTGGTCGAGATGGGCGGTCTAATTTTCTTTTTCAAATAGATTGAAGTTTTTCCCATCCACTGTAGTTTGGACATCAGTTTTTATACGCGAATCTTAATTTTTTTATGTTTAAAAGATTTAAATTATGTAAAAAATTATTTCTGTCAAGATTTTGATGTTTTAAAGATTGGATGTTTTTAGAATTTAAATGATGTCAGAAAGTACTACTACTTATATTAGAGTGGTCATCCATGGGCCTCTCGTTATTAAATGGGTACCCCTGCCAATTGGGCAACTTTCCGAAGAAGCCCAAGAGTCAAGGAATAAGGACATTAAAAAATATCGGCTGCTTGTATTTTCGGACCCTGTCATTTCAAGTTTACGTTTAAACCCACCAAAACCAAATCACAAACTGTCGTCAGATGCCATGAAATTATTATCAACTGTTGTAAATGCGGATGCAGAATTGCCATCAGAAAATATAGATATGAGCTTGGATACTTCTGATAACTGCGAGTCTGACGGTGTATACAATTGTTATCTTAATATATTCCTGTACCAACAAATATGTATGTCATATTTATTGATTCATTCACAATCCCGCAGTTCCCGTGTAAATTTGAACATCAAGATTTTTAGAAACGAACATTAAGACATATTAGTATTTGACCGAGCTTCTCTTCCGATTTGTGGCGTGCGCCTTGATGTTGGCGCNCTGATAACTGCGAGTCTGACGGTGTATACAATTGTTATCTTAATATATTCCTGTACCAACAAATATGTATGTCATATTTATTGATTCATTCACAATCCCGCAGTTCCCGTGTAAATTTGAACATCAAGATTTTTAGAAACGAACATTAAGACATATTAGTATTTGACCGAGCTTCTCTTCCGATTTGTGGCGTGCGCCTTGATGTTGGCGCACAAAGGGGAGGGACCAACAGTTTTACGCCGAATCCGAACGGGGATTTTATTTTTATGAGAAGCTGTTCTTCGTGGCTGAATACACTCGGGGGTTTGCCATTGCCTGCCAAAGGGCGACTTTATTACAAAAAACTGGTTTGTTTCTTATTTTTTGATGTTGGTCGGAAACTGGGCTTGAACCCAGGCCCTGCTGAATGATAGCGTATATTGCTAACCGCTACGTCACATTATATAACAAAAAAGCAGGAAACATGACCTTTTATACTTAACTACCTTAGTTTTGCTAAAAATTTGATTATTTTAAGGGTACACAGCAGCCATTATGGATCCGCCATTTTCAATTTCGAAATTATGTGGTGAAATTTAAAACCAGCAACCAAAATAAAGACAAGGTTTGATTACAATTGTACCACGCTTCGACTTTTGGCCAGCTTTTTCGAAAAATTGGCCACTGTGCCACGTCAGTAAATTCCACCTTATATACCCATTTCAATCCGGATTCAGACCCCATCACAGCTGCTCTCCTGCAATGATAAAGGTACTAGATGATATTAGAATACCGTACGACAAGAACCACTTAACTTTACTATACTTGCTGGACTTCTCTAAAGTCTTTGATTCAGTTAGCCATTAAATACTGTGCTTTAAATTAAAAAAACTACTTTGGGTTTGGAGAGTCAGCAGTGAAACTCAGA